GGGGGGGGGGGTTCACACCCTTCCACTTCATTTCCACAACTCGGTCGGTGTCCTGCTGTTTCCTCCTTTGGTGTGGGGATGGCTTGGGCCTTCAGGCAGCAAAAAGTCTTGGGCTGCCCAGGAAAGGACAGACAGCCTGTGGTTACTCCGCAGCGAGCGAAATGTATTCTGTATTAAATGTATTAAAAGGGCTTCCGAAAAAGACTCCATATGCTGCGTGCAGAACCTTTGAGATCCATCCCCTTGCTTCTCCTGGCAGGGTGTGAAAATTTACCATTTTCCGCTCGCTGTTGTTTTGCACTGTTAAGGTGCCTCTGACTTATGACCCCTCAGAAAGTCCTGTCATCAGTAGCCGTACTCAGTTCTTGCAAACTCAAAGTCATGGCATCTTTCATTGACTCAATCCATCTCGTATTTGGTCTTCCTCCTTCCCTGTTGCCTTGAACATCCCTCAGCACTACTGTGTTTTTTCTTTCTTTTCGGTGAGTCTTGCATCACGATGTACCCAAAGTACGACCACCTCAGTTTAGTCATTTTTTGCTTCTAGAGAGATGTTTTTGCCTCTGACATCGGAAAAGTGCTGCATGTCAGAGTCAGGCCAGCCCTAAAATAAGGAGAAGCAATGACTGCACCAGCCTCTCTCTCTCTCTCTCTCTCTTGGGAGATAGGGCTGGATTTGTTCGAAGTTCACATTGAAATGGAACAACTAGGTTGTGCTCCAGGGTGTAAAAAGTAAAGGTAAAGGTTCCCCTTGACAATTTTTGTCCAGTCGTGTTCGACTCTAGGGGGGCGGTGCTCATCCCCGTTTCCAAGCCATAGAGCCAGCGTTTGTCTGAAGACAATCTTCCGTGGTCACGTGGCCAGTGCGACTTAGACACGGAATGCTGTTTCCTTCCCACCGAAGTGGTCCCTATTTATCTACTCGCATTTGCATGCTTTCGAACCGCTAGGTTGGCGGGAGCCCACCAAATTTGTGCCTCAGTTTGGACGGGACAGAAATCAATATGGCTTTTTTTCCCAGTGGAGATTCCCACCCGTTCCCCCAATTTTAAGGTTGCCTCAAGCATGGTATGGGGCACAAATCATTCAGGGTTGAGCAGGGATCCATTTTGGAGCCTCAGCTGGTCTATGAACTAAATCAAACCCTACTAAGGCGTCCCTCTCAGCGCTCCGTAAGACAGCCCGCTTACAACGTTGGAAGCGTATGGTTTACGAGGGGGTGCTGATAAGTCTCGAGCCTTTCCCAGAAAAAAAAATTGAGCTAGGAAGCTGTAACTGCCACACTATTATTCTACACAATTCCCCCAGGAAGCCAGTGTGCTTGTGACATCTGTCCTGCAGCTTCTCGAGTCCCTGCAAATAAAATTCTTCCATCTTCTCGTGTAACCACTCATTTGCAGCATTCGTTGCCTCCAGAACACTCCCAAATTGTTGTCCCTTTAGGTGTTTTTTTTTTTAGTTTGGGGAACAGATGATAGTCAGAAGGAGCCGGGTCGGGAGAATAGGGTGGATGGGGCATCCCTTGAAAGCCTAAGGACGTCGGTTTTGCCCTTGTTTCACCTGCACTGTGTGACGAGGCGTTGCCATGCAACAGGATGACACCTTTGGAGAGCGTTCCTCGACGTTTTTCCTTGATGTTTTGCCTCAACT